GAGAATCTTCTGTTTGAACTTCAAATCAAGCTCTCACATCGCCTGGTCATCTTGTGGGATAATGTTTCTGCTGCATACCTAGCTGCAAATCTGGTTAATCATGCTCGCACCAAATATATTGGTCTAGACATTCATTTTATTCGTGAACGTGTTGCTGCTGGTCTTCTTCGGGTCCTTCATATTTCCTCACAATCCCAGCTTGCAGATGCTTTTACCAAATCTTTACCTAAGGATAAATTGTATTTGTTTAGAACCAATCTAGGCATGATTACTTCTCCTGCTACGATTGCGGGGGGATGATAGAATATGGAAATAATCGAAACCCTAATTAGGGTTTCCCATGTAGACGGCTAGGGTTGTTACACTATTGTACTATAAATACCACAATGTATTATGTGAATAATACACATAATAATTCTTTCAAAAACAACGTACACTTTCAATAAAGCCGTCGGTGCCATTCCTGCATACATTAGTGGCGAAATCGTAGCCATACTAATGAACATCCCTTAGGAACCCGTCGCCATACTACTATATATCAACAAAGATGGAGCCGCCATATTAGCAAATATCAATAAAGATGTCGCCGTCGTACTACAGATCAAAATCTATAATTATGATCCCATTTTTATTGAAATAAATTGAAGCACAATAAAAAAAAAAACTTAAAAGATCTGAAAAAATTTATTTCCAATTGTATATGTCAATATGAGAAATTTTAATTGTTCTATCTTTTTTTTCCACTCAAAATGAAAAGAAGGAAAATTTGTGAATTATCACAATTGTCAGCAACAAATTAAGATTAGTTAAATTTAGGGGGAAAAATTTGGTTCCGTGAACAATTAATCAAGTCTTTTCTTTTTTTTATAAAAAAGGTAAAATAATGAAGAAATATGAGTAAAAAGAATAAATACAGGATTTTAAATGATATTTACCTCTTATATGAGGCCATTCTTGTTGTTTCCTAAGCCATATGATGAATCAGTCCAATTTTAATTACTTTTAAATGTAATTAACTATATTAAAGTTTTAAATAAATTTACAAATTAGGTATAAACATTGGGATGCATCCGAATATATTTCTTAGGTATTTAACTAGAGTAAATATTCAGTGCATGAATTCACTGTACCACATCAATATATATAGTATATAATTTTGGGAGAGGTCCATAATTTTAATTGGAGTTAATAAACATTCATGCTAGTATGGTAAATCTTTCGTGCTTCTTTTATCAACAATAAAATGTTAAGAAGTCTACTACACAAAATTCTCTCTTTTAACCATATCTAATTGTTTAAGTTTGCGCAGGGAGTCTCTTCCATTAAGATCTAATTCCATTAATTAGATCTTCATTAATACGGTAAAAAATCTCATGTACCACTTGCAGTTGCAGTCATATAATGTGGTTACAAAGGATGCTAGATGAGTAACCCTTTATTCTCTTTTTCTTCTTTTTCCCTAAAAATATGCGAATAAGGAATAGAATTATGGATCGTCATGTGAAGTGCCCCGTCAGTCATTTGTCAATTTGAGCTGGTATAATTTCATCAGTCATGTGGCCATTTTCAATATATATAATTTAATTTGCCGGTAGCTTGGCCTTTTTTAATTAAATTTAATATTGTTTTGTCTGTACAAGAAATTTATTTCAATTATATCGAAATGAAGTCACTCACCACTCTATATATTCAGTATTGAAACTCCAACAAACACACCAAAATTTAGAAACACTTCCATCTTTTGGCATTTTTCTTTCTTACCCGGACAGGAGAAAAATTGATGGCTAACTTTACCAAGTATTTCATCATGGTGTTGCTTCTTGCAGCATGTAAGTAATTTCTCATCACATCTCTCTATGTTATTCTGTACTTGTAATTTGTTTAGTGACTTTATTACCGATCATTATAAGTTATCCCGCACTACAGGTACTCATTTGATTGTAATTAAGTGGGTAAATATGTATTTGATATGTCCCAAAAAATGGTACAAAGCGAGTTTTAAAATTTGTATTGTTTTAATGCAAGTTTCAAAACTTAAGGTGGATTATTTTTTCGAGCTCAGATCGAGTAACTTTATCTGCAAATGATTAGTGAGTAATTTCTTTCAAAAAAAAAAGATAATAATAATAATAAAAATCTTGCAGTTATGAAGGTTTTGGAAGTTGAGTGTTCTGACGTGGAGACTTCTGAATTCTCCAAGATCTCTCGCGCAAGAAAGCTGCTGCCCGACGGCTATAAAATAGGTTTTTGTGGCAGCGCTTGCTGGTTGGGTAATTGCTTCGATGATCGCTGCAGATGCGAATATCCCTTTTGTATGGGGTAATTTCTTCCCAATCAGACTACCAAAAGCCGCCGTGATGGGGTTCAAATTAATTTTAGTAAGTAATTCGGTTGGCTCGAAATCGTGTGGTGACTTCGTCTTCAAGATTTACATGTACTTCCTCTGTCCCAAATAAAATAATTCATGTTGAGTTTCTTTCAAAACTCGACGTGAACCTCTACTGCACTTGTTATCCTATTTTGTGTACCCTTTTCTCCCTTAAAGTAAGTTTTATTCACTTCTTTCTTGTTTGCCCAATTGAAATAAATCTGGTTGTATCTACCAAAAAAAAAAAAAGGTGTCTGGTTGTTATTTATTTTGTTCATTAATGCAAGTCAATTTTATAAATGCCACACCTTGTAAACCTCCCGTCTATCGGGAGGATTGATTGATGCCGATCTCTTGATTTCGCACAGGCAACTGAGAGCAGTTTGTCATGCTTTTATGGTTATTTTAGAATTTCATCATTATGTTTCTCTTTTCCAAAAAGAGAGGTTCAGATACGAACATTCAAATATACACCCAAACTCCATAATCTAGAAGAACTAATAATGAAGTCTTTAAAAATCAAAGAAAAGACTCAATATTTTACAGAAACTACAAAACAGCCGAGGATTCATGTTTCTCCTCTAGATCCGAATAGAGTTACTCGCAAGTGTTAGTATTGATATTGTAATAATATTTGTAAAATTTAATTAGGTTGAATAGCATTATCCATACTAATGTCTTACGCGTGTTTGTTTTTAAATTAGTACTGGTCCGCTATTTTCCTTCCAATTATGAAAACAATTCTTGACGACTTATGTTCATAGCTTAAAAAGCAAAAAACCTCCTTTTACACACGCAAAAATGTGTAAGAACTCTACATTTTTATTAATCAAAACTATATTTTGTTTGTTATCGGGGAATATATTGTGCCGCGAAGAATAGACCAAATCCCAAAATTATACACTAACTGATTGCCATTTTCTATCCACTAACTGATTTTACGTAAACTTAATTCCATCAACGTGTTACTTAACCCCATAAACGTCTTTTTTGGCTCAGTAAAAAAAATTACTCCCTCCATCTCAAAAAAGAAGACAATCATCCAACAATTAATTTATGTGTTAAATAATTATTTTACCCCTTATTAATTACATTGGAACTATAAACAAGATTAAATAAAAATAAATTAGCATCATTTATTGATGGTAAAGTTGAAAAAATAGTTATTAATTTACTAAGAATTTGTAAAAATTTCTCCACACCTAAAACGACCTACAAACTGAAATGGAGGGAATAAGTTAATTAAAGTATTAATTCTAGCTTGGTCAAGTCTCACTAATTAATTACTTCACGTTTGTGTTGCCTACATCTATTGACAACTAACAGTTCGTTTTGTATACTTTATAGTATATAACAATTATTTGAGGAAAGGCCAGTAGATTAAATTTAAATAATACGATAACATAGATTTATTTATTTTATTTTTTTTTTTTGAACTGATGAAGTATACAAGCTGGTGATGACCTGAAGCGTAAGTAACTACCATCCAGCTTTGTGCTTTAAAAATTGAGCTCAAAATCGGTTTCACCAAATCTAGATGTAGCCCATGGAATTTAATTATTTTTTGGGTATTATCTGAAAACGACCTTTCTGTTAAGTGATAGCTAGTTTTGAAACTGCAAATAGTAGGATTTTGCAATTTGAGCATTATAATTAGTATATGACAAGAAATAATTTTGATTTCTTTGGTTTTGGAATGAACAATGGAAATTTTAAGGGCACAACTCTTATAACGGTGATGTAGCTAGGAAAACCACGGGTGACCCGTGGTTTAATAAGTCATGAAAAATTTCATTGTGGTTTGACAAAATGTGTAAAGTAATTCTTATATCCGATCTGTCTCGATTCATCTTATTTTTTCAATTTGGTTCATCTTATAGTAATGGTGTAGACAATTCATTCAATGCTAGTGAAACGGTTCATAATAGAGATATAGAACTCGTGTTTTGATAGTAAAAATAAAATAAAATTGATATGTTTAATCGGTGGAGATCTTGGGGCTTATATATTAAAATAAGAAAAAAGCAGAAAAAAAATGATGTAGGTTGAATTAAAAATTGACAAGGGAAATAGAAAAGTCCAGTTGGGTTGTATATAATAGCCAAAATGTTTTCAATACAGAAAGAATGGGTTAAAAAGAAATGAGAATTGGGTAATTAACATGTATTGCAAGTAAATGAAATCAGTGGCTAATTGAAATAAGTAGGCTGTAATGCACCGGAAGTTTATCGACTTAATCGGAAGGATTTAATCGGAATTTACAGGACGGCGGCTGGATTAGGGTTTCGAAAACACCCCCGAAGGGAAAACAACATTTCAATTCAATTCTTCAACTTTTTCATAATTGATTTCAGACCCTGCAAAGACTATATATAGTCTTAGAGTTTCTAGATTGACAAATTGACCCCTAATCTATTAATTTAAGTCAAATGAATCCACGATTCATGATAAACCCCTCCCTAAAATCAGTCTTGTCCTCAAGACTGACATTTCAGAAAATACTACTCAACTAAACAGCACTTGGCACAAAGGTCATTCTAGCTAATAACTGAAAACAGAAACTCCAAAAGAAAACAGCAACATAACCAAATTGAAAATCTACATGAAAATTGGCAGAATAGCTAGAATATCTTCATTGCTGCACCTTCCCTGTGAAGAATTCTTGCCAAGCAATCTTCCAAATGAAGTTTGATTTTTCCATTGATGTAATATGCTTCCTATGACTTTCAAAAGTGAGGATACCACCATTGAAACAGGTAGACTTCTGAATCCATTTCTCTATTTCCAACAACATGGTTCCTCCCCTAAAACCAGTTGCCATCTCAACCCAAACTTTACACCACAGCTGGTTCACAGGCAGACGAGACGCTCTACCAGCTTCAACAGGATTCTCATCCAACAAGTTCAACCGAATGCCAGTGATAAAATTAACAACAATACTATCAACAGTTACATCCAAACAACATTCAGTGCCCCCTCTAAAACCAGTGGCCCCTTTAACCCAGGGTTTTCCCGAACTGAGTTTTTCAAACAGAATAGGCACCTTAACATCAATAGGCTGCACTTTGTCTTCGCTTCCATCAGCAAATATGGAGTCAAAGTAAAAAATGTCTTTGGTTATACCAAGATCAAATACACTGAAGCTTAGACAACTACCCTTAACAAAAGGACATTGCACATTCATCCCGCCTTCAACATTGGAAAACACAGGCTCACTGCCATCTTGGCATTTGAATTCCCAATTTCCACCGGGATCAAAAGTAATTGGGCAACCAACATTTACATTAGTGGGAGAATTCACAAATGACTCTGACACAGCCTCAACACCAAATAACAAACTGAGATTTAAATTAGACTCAACTACATTTCCACCAAAAACTGCAGTTTTATCCTCATGACATTTTTCAGTTCCACCAGTAACAAAAAAATCCACCTACAGGATTACCATTGTTACTAATTTCACTAGCATTTTTATCAACTCCATCCAAATGTTCAGAACCAAATACTGAATTTTTTAAAACACTATTCTAATCATCAAGGGGCAGCAATTCATCAGAAATCACACTATCAAAATTCTTTCCCACCCTAACAACATCAATCAGAGACATCTCATCATCAGGCTCTTCAATAATACCCACTAAACTCACAGAATCAGCATCCAACTTGGAATGAACATCATCAAAACCAATTTCGGGACTCACAACCTTAGAGAAAGAGTTACCTAGTTCTGGGTCAGAATCACAAACATCCCATACATATACCACGGTGGTTTGCCCGATGAATTGGCCAAATCGAAGCTCCAATCGTTCCAGCAAGTCCTCCCAGGAGTGCAAAAGTGAGATCGCTGCCAATCCATACAAAAATTGGAGAGCCTCGCCTAACATGTAGAATGAAGATAGGAATATCTTCCTCCCGGATGGGATGCAATTGTTGGCGAACAACCCTTCAATTCGGTTAAGCCACGAAGCAAAATTTTTTCCGGCGAAAAAAGTGGAACTCCGGTTGGCGAGGGTTCTGGAAGTCCATACGGAATCGGACTTGGGGGAAAAACTTCGGACGGAAGCCATTTCAACATTTCATAGCCCAGGGCTTGGAGTTCCATGGCGGAGCAGCTTAACGATTCCGATGAAGGGCTGGGAAACAGAACCGATTTCGGAGTCGAAATCGAAGAAAATGAAGGAGGGAAATCAATTCCGAAACCAAGGATCCAAGAAATAATTCGAAGTGAAGTGAACGAAGGAGAAGGCGGATTTCAGAAACGAATTCGATTTAAAAATGGAAGAGGGAGAAGAACGAAGAACAGCGGAAGAAAACAGTTGAATCAAAGTCAATTGGAGCGGAAGAATAAAAAATCTGAACTAAAACGCCGAGAAAGGAACGGCTATGGATACCAAATGTAATGCACCGGAAGTTTATCGACTTAATCGGAGGGATTTGATCGGAATTTACAAAAGGACGACGGCTGGATTAGGATTTCGAAAACACCCCCGAAGGGAAAACAACATTTCAATTCAATTCTTCATCTTTTTCATAATTGATTTTAGACCCTGCAAAGACTATATATAGTCTTAGAGTTTCCGGATTTACAAATTGACCCCTAGTCTATTAATTTAAGTCAAATGAATCCACGATTCATGACATATGCCCTAGTGAAAATGAGAAAAATAAACTAAACCAAGGCCATAAAGGTTGAGTCTTCTTCTTCCTCGAGTACTCCAACACCGCTATCGGAGGGGCTGAGAGAATGGTGGAGCCACCGGCCATAAGTACCTCAAAAGGGTTCTCCGGCCGGCCGGGGTTCAATCGACCCCCCAACACTTAGGTGGTTCCACAACAGATAGTGAAGATAAATAGTGAAATAAGATGGTAATTAATGTGACATTTACTAAGTTGGTAGTCACTCCGAGAATAGTTTGTTTTAGTTCTTTCAGGAGTTACTATTTATTTGCACGTTCTCTATCATTCCTTTGTTGAAATTAAAGAAAAAAAAAAAATACTCCCGTAAAATGATACATGACCGATGAAAATTGATAATTTTGTGTGATATATAACAGTGAATTACATAGCACAACCATAAATAACATATAGATGTGTTACACTATTTTTATAAATTCTATCGTTATCGCAGTCACATTTTCATTAATAAATTTTCACTTCATTATAGATATAGTTCCCTCTAACATAAAAGCCGTTATTGTAAACATTTGTTGGAAAGTCACTATGTTGATAAATGGAATGTCACTATGTTGGTGTTTTAGTTCTTTCGGAAATTATTATTTATTTTTGCTTTCTCTATCATTCTTCTTGTTAAAAAAAAAAACTCCTGGAAAATGATACATGATCGATGAAAATTTATAATTTTGAGTAATATATAAGACAGAGAATTACATAGCACATCCATAAATAAAATAAAGATATATTGCACAATTTTGATAAAGTTAAATTGATAACGCTATCCTAACATAAAAGCCTTTATTGTATATGTTTGATGGAATGTCACTATGTTGATAAGTGGAATCGATAGTTATATTTCATTAATAAATTTTCACTTTCAGCATAAATGCAGTATTTTACTAAAACATAAAAAAACTATTATTACACACCTTTGAAGGAGTAACATTTAAAGCTTCATATTATCATGTGACAATAAGTTAATGACACTTTTGGGCAGCAATAGGACGAGGATGGCATGATTCACCACTGGCTGAATGGCATACTTAAAGCGCTTCTTTTCAAACAGCACTGGACAGCTCCGAATCTTCTGGATTGCGTGTCTAATCTGTCAACTTCTCCTAGCTTCCCTCTTCATTGGATGTCAATGTGTAAAACTTCGCAAGTTTGTATACATGGTATCAGTCATTAAGCTGCATTCGATTATTTGAAATGCTTCCAACCATGTATTCGTGAAGAGCAGCAGGCAGGAGCAGAACACGTCTCCATTTCATCTCCCACACAATTTAGATAGTTTTGACACACCAATCTCTTCCCAAGTAGAAGACATTAGGAAGTGGTGTAGAACGTTTTGTAGCAAATGCACAGATAAATTCACTCGTCTCACAAGGCATGGATCATACATCTGTTTTAGTCTAGCAGCAGATTTTTCAGTTTCAAAGCATCCCATCTCTATAATTTTCTAATCTGAAGCTGTATACTAATGAAGTTTATAACCAGGCACAAAGGGTCATGGTAGAGAGGGTGCACAAAACAAATGCCAGTTTCTAGCCTGCTTTGACATTTATGAAACTGCAGTGACAGGCTTCTCATCATCCTTGCAACAACCACCAACACATAAGTAGTCAGCTATCGACAACGCAGGAAATCACGGAAGATACAGAACAATCACAAACCTAACATGGAGAGAAACGAGGAGCTTAATCAATAGTGCCAAAATGATTTACTATACCAGGCCGATAACTTTTAAATTCATCAAAATTTTGCTCAAGTGAAAACAAAATAGAAACACAGTTCCCATCAAATCCACAGAACAACAGCACGGCGTGTTATCATTGCTGAAGGGTGAATGTGGATCCTCTCAAGTGATTAGATACACCATAATCTGGATTTAAGTTGCTGAATTACCTGTGATGCTTTTATCAGCATTGCTTTCTGAAAGCTATCAGCAACCTGAAAGCAACAGATTGTCGATATTTCTATCCAGAAGTTCACCAGAAACCTTGCATATTTCGTAGATGAACTGAGAAATACTAAGAAATAAATATATGTTAATGTGCAAAATCATGTTTATCCACAATCCAAAGGTTCGTGCATAGGACTTGCACCCTTGGTAAGTCGACACATCACAAGAATCATAAACATTCCACAAATTAATATTATGTTATACATTTGCCATCCTAAAGAACTTTAATGGTCAAAGTAAATGCATATGAAAATCACCAGAAAAGGGAAGACAGATAAAAAACATCACAAAGGACACCAGGAGACAGTATCACGTACAAGACATAGGGGTCTTGGAAGACAAGAGAGTACAAGACATAGGGTTCTTAGAAGACAAGAGTAAGCATTGTCCCTAAAGCTAGTAATTGATGCCTCCCCCCAGTGAATTAAGAAAAAGAACCAAACAAGAACGAACTGGTCATATAGCTAAGAGCTTAGACAGTTGTTAGGGAAACATTATAGTTTATATGTCAAACATCAACTATAAGATGCCTGCAAACACCACTTCTACAGAAAAGGAGATGAGGTTACAAAAAAAAAAAATCTTCAGAAGAAATCCATACAACAGTAACGCTAACTGAGAAGAACGTCCTGATTCAGAGCATCACAATTAGAGAGGGTGGTTACAAAATAGAGAAGACAATAGAACTGGACAGTTGAGCATCACCTAGAATATCGAAGTCGAGAAAGGAATAGCAGGTTTAGGACTGTTGTTAAATACAGCATATACAACTAGTATTCGGCATATCTAGACTATTTAACCAAGGTAAGGGTTTGTTTTCTTTTAGAACCATCGTGTCTCTGTTTTTCTTTTGAATTAGCCGTCCATTGTCAGGAGTTGGTTTACACAAGACAAGATCATTCAAGTTTTTTGAATGTATAACCCCATCATCCAGACGCATAGAAGGGTAATAGAACACATTTCAAAAAAAAATCACCGAAAGAGATAATATGAGAATTTATAGAACTAGAACAAAACTTATCAATTGCCCCCCACCATGGCTAGGAGCAATCAGCTCACAGAATTGCTCCGAACATAGAAAGTAATGAGCTGACATAGAACCTGGCGACTCCTGGGTTCAAACTGCTGATACAATCCTAACTGATGAATTGAACCCAATAAATAAATTTAAGGCAAATCCATTCCACCGTTATACAAAATAGAAATGAAGACGAAGATCCACAATGAAGCACATTGTTAACAAAATGACAGTGAGTTTAAACTATAATGAAGTCCTTCAGTTTGTCAATTGGGCATCAGATGACCATGCATAAATCATCAGGACAAAATGTCACCCTTGGTATGGAATTTCCATAGATATTGCAAAAATATGAGTACAAAAATCAAGGAGAAGTATCAACCAAAGAACCATAGGGAACATCAAAGAAATTATTTCACTATGACTAAATCCAACAGTTTTTCATTAAAACCACAAAGTAAACTGTGAATATTATGATAACAAAAATGATAAAACCCCTCGAGAAACATATCAATGCAATTTGCCCTCTCTAAATTCCCAGAACACACGCATACACATACACTGAAGAGAGAGATTGAGAGAACTACAAAATTTCATGTCAAAAGAGCCTCATACATGCAAGTTCCAACTGAAAACCATTTGCAGGAGGATTCTTCTAATGTACATAAAAATAAACAGCAACCGTCAAGAACAGCAAATGCAGCCTCAATCCCATTATTCCATTTCATTCTTTCTTATGGCCATTAGGAAAGGTCATGAACATCATTAATCTACAACTAGAAATTAGAAAATAAATCTTAGGCACTTTAAATGGTTAAGCAAAATAAAATTAGCAACATTCAGGTTAAGTTTCTCAATAAAAGTTAAACTTCAATGAGTACATGTGATCATCACTTAAGTTGCAAAGATTGATATTTTTACAATCAACAGCAATATATCTTTGTTTTTTCTTTTTCAAATCCACATAATAAGAAATAAGTCACAGTTATCAAAAATATGCAGAGGACTGTCAGTAAACTTTTTCCAGTACAACCGACCATCTCTTCTATTGAATTCTTCAGGCAGTATATTTAAAAAGACATTCATTGTTCAATTGAACATAGTTCAGGCTGTAAAGATTGTTACTATTTCAATTCAAAGGAAGTCATGGAAGTTAGGCTCGATGCTCGCTCTACCACTTAAAAGCAGAAAACCCAATAAAACAAAATTGAAGGGTGAACTTAAAAGAA